AGACAGTGGTATCCCATAGGGTCATATCGTAAGCTTTGTCACTGCGAGAATCCACTTCACCTGCAGGTTTCACTTCGCATCTCATCCTCAGGCAGAACAAGAAGTCATTTCAAGGGACGTTTTGCAGGAACGTTTAAGTATGAGAATCCCACGATACCATATTTGGCGCGGGTTTTATGTGATGAGAATAGTGTAATTATTATTTACTATTATTTTCCTCTACGTTCCCCAGTGGAACATAGGGCTTCAAGCTAGTGGCTTGAAGTTTCTGTAGCAGTGCTTATTTTACAGGATAAGGTTGCTAGCCTCATGCCCAACCTTACCTCTTCACCAGCATTATTTCTGGCTTAGCGAGGTAAAGGAGTGCGTCGTCGGCCGGGAATCGAACCCCGGACCATGTGCATGGTCGGCGAGCGTCCTAACCGCTATGCCACCGATGCACTGGAATAATTAAAAAATAGTGTAATGCACGGATTAAATTACTTTCCATCTTCTCCATCCTTATTCCACCCAGCTTCACTGTTATTATTCTTATTATATTTTTAATCCTCATTTTGTGTGTGCTTATTTTCTCATAAGTATTAACATCATTTAAGCTTTGTAATTATTGTTATTTTTTGTTGTTCCCCGCACCACGCTATATCAAGAGAACATTAGATTCAGTACTTCTACCATGAATGTGGAAAAATTCCTATAGTTACTTTGATTTACATTTTGATTAAATTAGACGCAACACTGTGGCAAATGCTGAGAGTTCCATGCTGTATTGTAAGCAGTGTTTTTGAAAAAGAGCAGATCACTATTATTACCGAAAAATATATTATCGTTCATCCGAATATGAGGGACGCTATTTAACGGGCGTCATTAGTGTATAAAATCATGTATATCGAGTGATAATATTCACAGTTATTCATTCTTTAATTTCGGAACCTATGGCAGACACAAACCATAGTGTTGAAATCAAGTTTTTTAACTCTTCTAGGAAAATACTAATTGTCAACCTGTCAACCACCCTATTTGCGTGAATTGTGCCAGCACTTAAATTTTGCTGAGTTTGGCTCATCAGATGGACAGTATAACTGACCAACCACGAAAGCCAGTCTCCCTTACCCCGGTCTTTTGTTCATTGTCCACATATGGAGATAAACTTAAGTGTGATCATATACTCATGTGTCTTTGGCAAAATTTAGGCTGAATAGTGCTACTTTGATACTCTTTAACCCAGCTCAATCTATCTACGTTGTCAGGTTTCCCTTAATATAACCCATATAGCAAGCAAAATCGATCGAACGAACAAGTGTTGGGATTTGTAACAACTTATACGATTTTGTAGACACAAACTTGCTAACCCCAAAGAGAGGGGCAAATCGGGGGTGACGAATTTCTCCTCACCGAGTCGTAAAACTATGCGTTGATCCTCTCCTCGTCCTTTTTGTTCGTCGAGAAATTTTATAGCCAATTATTCTAATCTGAGCGTCTGTGCATCTAAGTGGTTAGTGCCTAAGTAGTTAACTTGGGACGCCTGGTTTTGATGAATTAGGCCAAAATCTGCAGTGAGACCTCGTTTCATTGCCCCCCATAAAACAATCTAGGAAAACCATCCGATAGAATTTTCGGTGAATTACATGTCTATTTATTTTCAGGATCAGCATCTTCTGATTGAGGAGTAATGCTCTGAATAATTTTCGTGAAAATTCACTGCTTTCGATAGGATGATTGGTTACATAATACCCTCTCTATATGCTCCTGTGGGGAAGTACAAATGAGAACACTGTCAAGAGATCTAATATCCAATATCGTTTTTACGAGCCAGTATAAACCAGTTTGATTTCTTTGTGCTCGCCTCTTGATTGTGAGGTAGAGGTTCCTGATCTTCGGTAAACTTCTGCGTATCTCGTCCCGCCACTCGACTGTCGTAGCTTTGGTTGACTCCAAAAGGAGTAGTGCTGGGATTAATTATGTGTGGTTTGTAGTATGAGGTATGTTAAGACTGTTACTACTGCGAATGGAGTTGATCTTTTCACCAGTTGGTCCTTCGGTATCGTTGTCAATAGAAAAGATATGTATATATACACCGGTAATAATGATAATAATAGGAGAGTAAGACGGGAGAGAATGTAAAGAAGTAAAACGACAAGTTTAATTGTCTACCCTTGAATGGCGTATGCGATTTTAAGGGGATAGGCCATTTGGATGGAGTCCTTGTGTCGCTGCATGGTTGTCCAGCCTTCGCTTAAAGGCGTCCACAGACGGTGCCGTAGCTACATCTGCCGGTGAGAAATTCCAGGGACGGCAAACCCGCAGGGAAAAGAAGTGGCAGCGCACCCAGGTCCTTGCCCTCTGATGAGCTATCCTTCTAGGATTTCCACGAGGGAGCCTATACCTAATCAATGGCAGAACACCTTTGTTTGGGTGATTCTGATCATTTGCTGTTTTATAGGCAGTAATTAAATCCCCCCTAAGACGACGGCAACTAAGTGCGAATAGGCCTAACTTCTTCAGCCTTTCATCATATGGTTTTTCTCGGAGACCAACCACTCCTTTTGTTGCCCGTCGTTGGACTGTTTCCAAGAGGTTGGCGTCTCTTCTAAGCAGTGGGGGTGCAATAATATTATGCACTTCAAGGTGCGGTCTGACGTATGTTTTGTACAACCTTAGAAATAGCTCAGGAGTGAGTGCACCTAATTGTCTATGTGTAAAGTGTATGACCACATATGCCCTCGCTACATCCCCCGAGTAATTTACACTTGTGTCCATTTTATCCGTCACAACTAGACCTAAGTCACGTTCCGACGTTGTGCAGGACAAGCTTTCAATACACAGGGTGTAACTTGCATTCTGCAGTCTACGGGTGTGTAACTTCACTACTTTGCACTTTTTCAGGTTGAAAGTCATGCCACTGGCCACCACCCAGTCTTCCAGAAGGTTTAGATCTTCCTGTAGCCTATCTGAGCCCTCCTGGCACTTTATCGCCCTCCATATCTTCACGTTGTCAGCGTATAGAAGAGTCGGGCAGCTTAGACGGCATGGTATATCATTGATAAAAATCAAAACCATCAGTGGTCCTAGGATAGAACCCTGCGACACCTGGTGACGAGCTGTGCCAAGATGATCGGACTCGATTGACCTTAGTGCAAAATTGCCTTTCCCCTAGGTAGTCCTTTAACCATGACAGAAGTGGCTTACCTATACCTACCTGGCTTATTTTGCGCAAGAGAAGGTCATGGTGCACAGTGTCGAATACTTTCTCAAAGTCTAGGAGGACCACATGAACTGGAACATTTATATCCCAGCATGATGTCCAATCGTCCCAAGCTGATAATAAGTTAGTAACGCAGGATCTTCCTTTCCTGAAACCGTGTTGGGCTTCATGGAATATATTAGACCTATCGAGATATTCCCTGATGTGATCGTCGATAATACTTTCCAGTACTTTTGATACTACTGGGAGTAGAGCTACTGGTCTATAACTAGTGGGATTTTGCCTATCCCCACCCTTGAAGATCGGAGAAAAGATGCTTCTTTTCCATTCCCTTGGCCGTTTCCCCGATTCCATGGAGTTTTGGAAAAAGTCGCATAAGGGCTTACAGAGAGCTTCGGCTCACTGTTTCAGAACAGATGGCCTGATGCCGTCACAACATGGGGAGTTCCAAGGTGTGAGTCGCTATAGCTTTCTTAGTACTACTGCAGGGTTTATTTGAGGAGTAGCAATTAGGTCTTCCTCCTGTGAAATAGTGGTGCCACCATTTTCGTCCGTAACGGTAATACCCACATTGCTGTTTAGCTGTTTGGCGAAGGCTAAACTGAATGTTTCAGCCATCTCCAGACTAGTGAGATATTGAGCGTTTTAGCCTACTAAGGCGCATGCCCTCTGGTTGGTTGGTTTTCTTTTTGACATGAATCGATACAAGTTCTCGGGGTTTGCCAGGAGTTTTTTAGCAAGGTTATCCTGGAATGACCTCCTGTCCCTCCTCACTCTTGCAGTGCACCGGTTCCTGAGTTCCAGGTATGCATCATGGTCGATCTAACTCTTAGATACGCGCCACGTAAGCCAAGCCTTCCGCTTTGCTTGCAGAATACGTTGCGTGCTTCTCTCTAACCGTGATAACTTTCTTTTGGGCTGTGTTGTGACTGTATGAATAATCTTTTTAACCACCACCCAGTGTTCATCCACCGATAGCTCATCCCATGCTAAGGGCTAGTCTGCGTCAGACAAGAGCCTCCGCATTTCAGCATAGTCAGCCTTGATGTAACACAGACATGGTTGCGTAACGTCCCACTGCAAATGCTCACGGAGAACGAGATCGAAACCTATGACTACATGGTCACTACTTCCTAGAGGAGTCATGATCTAGACCTTTTCGACGAGTAGTAGGTCACTAGTTAGAATGTAATCTAGTTTTCATGACTTTGCACTAGGGCCCCACCTAGTGTCGTCTCCAACGTTCTCAGTCAGTCCCGTGTTTCGAATAGTTTGCAGTAGATCTCGGCCGAATTTTCCCTTAGCATACCCCGAGCTAACGTTCAATGATGGGGCATTGAAATCTCCAGCAATGGTGATTCGGTCGTAGCCCAAGTCTCGTATCCCTCTGATAGTGCTGAGCAGTAGATGGTTGTGCTCTGCCCCACAGGTGGGAGATGGGTAGATGCCATCAAGTAAATGCTTGGTGTGGCCTATGGTGAAATGACACCATATGGAGTCTGGGAGTTCAATAAGTGGTGGGTCCGTTGCGCGCACACATTTAAGTTGCCTGTCAAAGTATATAACAAAGTATAGTCAAAGTATGTAAAATGTAGATATTTCGGAAGAAATCCGAAGTTTACACAATACATGACAGGCCTACGATTAGGAAAACGGTTTAGTCTCATTACCTGATTTTCTTTATGTTACTATATATATAATAAATTTCTTCTATTTTACTGAATTTCGATGGGCAGTTATAATCCTAAAAGAGTTCTACCATAAGCGGAATGAGAAAGGTGACCTTGAGATTCTTAATATAATAGGTCATAGCGGCACTACAAAACCTTTAGGTTTGGCGGCAAAAGATGAGTTCCTTGTCAAAATTCTTCAAGTCGAGGAAGAATGACAAGGCAGATACACAGACTGCAATCCAGAAGCTTAGGGATACCCATGAGATGCTCACAAAAAAGTCCAATTTTCTTGAGGGCAAGGTAGAAGAACAGATAGCCCTAGCCAGAAAATATGGTCTAAAAAATAAAAGATGTAAGAAAAAGTTTCGAATCTCTTGAATCTACTAGTGGCTCTTCAGGCTCTGGCTAGAAAAAGGACCTATGAGAAGCAGCTCGCTCAGATTGATGGAACACTGAACACAATCGATAGTCATATTGAAGCACTAGAGAATGCTGGAACAAATGTGGAAGTTTTGAATGCCATGCGATATGGATCAAATGCTCTAAAGAACGTTCACAAGAATATGTAAGTCTGCATAATTTTTTATTTCTCCCAGGACTGCCGATGATGTTCAAAATATTATGGATGACATTCAAGAACAAAGAGATATTAGTCAAGAAATATCCAATGTAATATCTACGCCTATGGGTCTCAACGCCGACTTTGATGAAGATGATCTTCTGCGTGAACTCGAGGAACTTGAGGTAACTTTCACATTTTCACTGACTATATCAAACTGGATATATGCTTAAAACAGTGAAGTATTATTATGTTTGATAAGTTTTCCGTAGGCTCTACTATTTCTGTTGTTTTAACTCGGGCGTCCAGCAGGATGTTTCCCTCAACTTAATAATAATCATTTAGAAAGTAAATTAATAAACGAAAGTAGTAAGGCTTTTTGTAGGCATGTGTATCTTCATGAATACTTTCTTTATTACTAATAAGTATTCAGTTACCATCCAAAATTGTTTACAATATTTATATATATATATATATATATATATATATATATATATATCAGTTCCAGTGATTACTTATTAATTAAGTGTCTTATGGACTGATGATTAAGGTGCATGTGACAACTGATTCACACATATCAAAGACTTCTGAATGTGTCCGTTCATTATATTCAAGTACATCTGTACTAAAAGATTCAGCTTCAAAGTCTTACTTATTGGGGTTTATAAATATTAAAGTCTATTGTCATATTACTATTAGTATTTCTTAAACGTGCAACTCTAAAAGCGTATGGCTTCCTGTACTGAACATGGTTTTAATTTACGGTGACATGTTCAGTCTGCGCACCTGAGTTGAAATCTCGAGTATTGTTTTGTAATTAATACTTTCGGTTGGGATTTACTAATTTTTACAGCAGCTTTTAATGATACAAATGAAGGTGTATGGTGGACAAATGATATGTTACACTAATCCCTCAGCTGTTAAAGAAAGTGATCATTTTTGACCACGGGTGGGTGTGATTTAGCAATTGACTTTAAGCATTAGAATTATGCAGAACGAATAAATATACAAATGTAGAATACTTTCTGTCTGGAAGCATTTAGCTTATACTACTACTACTACTACTTTATGCCTTTTCGACACTCACTTATCAATGAGGCATTTTCCACAGCTCATCTTGATCAACGGAATCAAATGCCACCGTCAGGCCAAGAAATATAACAAGTTTCGGGCGACGGCCTATGTTCCAGAACTCATGGAAGTGTGAAGATATAATCAGTGCACCCTCTTTTCGAGTCTAAGACTAGCCTAGTTTTGTTGTATTTTGTTTTACCCGAGCTCCACTTAGTCATCACAAGACTATAGAACTTAGAATCTTAGATAATATGTCAAACTAGACCCCCTGTAGTTTTCATAAGATTTCATCTTGTTAACTGGGATGACCGTACTTTTTAAAAATTATTTTATTTATTAAAACAAACCTCGTTCATTATGGGTACCAAGACGTGTGTCGCACACAAAATTTCATAATTTGTGCGACGGTTGGGCAAATGTCTGGATGTTCAGACTGAAACAGGACCTTGTCTAAAGAGGCCACCCTGTGAGTCATTGAGTCGAAGTCACTGACCCACAAAGCAGTGGTGGAGCGTCCAGAGCTATGTTCTCATACTTTCCGGTAACCAAAACAGTTTCGTACACCATTCGACCCTTTCGGATCCTAGAGCCCACATACTTTTGTGGGGAACACTGCTGCGCAAAGACAGTGAATAGGATTTATCTGCTAGAAGCTGTGGAACGTTTCCACACACATGAAAGCGTTTTGACAGGAAGACCAAATTCTACTCACCCTCGGTTATGAAGACACAAATGATTAACAATCTCCGCCAGCTGACTGATCACACTAAATTTTTTCCATGAGTAGGTTTGACTTTTTCTGGAGAATTCCATCTTTACTCAACTCAACCTCCTCTTTTGTTCGTCAGTAAAAAATAAGTATGACTCTACACCAGTTCTTAGTACTTCGACTTTATCATTGTAGTGTCGTTGAGAATGCTTTTCTGCATATATTTGTGACTTTGTAGCCTATTAAATTAGGAGTTCGATTTCCAACTATTGTATCAAGGTTTCAAACCCTAAACACCTACCGAGCTTTGCATAGTCAGTTACAATTTCTAGTCATAACAATATTTAGCCATGACCTGTTTGTCATGTATGTTTACACGCCTGCGTTTTTTCAGTTTAATTCATCCTTTTTTCAAATCTGAGTGTTGTTCTCTGGACGTAGATTATTAGAAAACAACAAGTCACTTTAGTTATATATATATGTTTGATGAGTAAGAAAGGCTGGAGAACATAAGCATCCTTAACAAGGAACTTATCATCCTTCATAAAGAAGCTACACTTCGCTGTGTGTTTCCACGTAAGATATAATGACTTTAAAATGTAACTTGGTCTTGGCAGTGTAGCAAAAGCGATCTCATCTCACTTGAAACAAATACTCAAATACCTTGTGTTTTCGTCTGTTCACACACGCAACCATAAGCCTACTAAAGATGAATTCTGTTATTACTCGTAAAGTTGTCAAGATGATGTGTATCCATTGTGAGGTTATTCTGCTTACCTGAACCGACATTATCATTATACTATTATTGTTTCCTTTAGTTCCTAGAGGAACATAGGGCTTCAGCCGCACATCTCCATTGCTTTCGGTTCTTTGCCAACGTTTTCACTTGCCTCCACGTCTGCCCACGTGCTTTCATCTCCTCTTCGTATAACCTCCTCCATGTCACCATCGCACTGACGACCAAATCACTGCTTCCCATTCGGCTTCCACTCGAGCAATGGCCTGGCGTGTGATGTCATTCACTTGATGGTGTTCTCAGAGTATGGTCAGTTCACCTCCATTTCTTCCTGCATATTTGCTGCACACTTTGCCAGAGATCCCTCCCTATTGCTGATCTTTTCTGTCCGGCTTTCTGATCTTGAGTAGTATTTTGCGAAGACAGCTAGCTGTTGATGAAGGTCTGTGTTTTGTTTGAGGTGTTCTTCATGACGCACCAAGTCTCTGATCCATAAATAAGCACTGAATTCACATTGCAGTTCAAAATCCGGATTTTATTTTCCATGCTGAGTGTCGATCTTTACATAGACTTGAGAGTAATAAAAGTTTGCCTTGCTTTCCTGATCCTCACTGTGATATCCTCATCAGCTCCGTCCGCCTGTAGTTGAAACGATGCTTCCCATATGCTTATAGGAGGTAGCGTCTTTCAGGGAACCAACATACATTTGAACAAATTGTCACGTTAATTGCCACCAGTTAATAATTTGTATCATGTCTTTATCCGACCTAGGTAAATACTATTTTTACGGTTGCGTATCCGTTTATGGCGTCATCACCTAGAATTCACTGCTTTGATCTTTGGGCTGCACTAGCTGGTGTACATTCCCCTCAAGGTAGTGTTAAACAGTATAGATGGTCTTTCGGTGTTTTTTGCTTCACTCCATTATGGCTAACGAGTGTGTAAGTGCTTGGATGGAGACGTGGTTCACTGACTTAAGCATTCAAATTTCAGTCGGTATGGGTCCCGGATTCGAATCTCACTCCATCTACTTTGGCATGGGTAACTGGTTAGTATCAACAGCACAATAAGTGTGGCTCATAGCCAGACACAGAAAAGACCTGTCTGGGGAACTGAGTTCTATTCCAACTTCCCATATCAGTCTGTAGCGTATACTATGCTGTAATTGTCGAACAACTGGTAAATATGAACGCACCTACTCGATCTTATCATGCTATATTTGTTCCCAATGATAAGCAAAAGAACACTAAGTTTCCGTTATATTTATGTATTTCCATGTGCCAATTTGTAGGTATTTGGTTGGTTTTGAATTTTGTTGTGGTCTACCGAGGGAATAAGCTCTTCAACGGTTACGCCCCAGGATGCTATCGCATGTCGGTCTTGTCTCACAAGAGTCAGGGGCAGGTGTGTTCAGTTCTCCTGAAAACCAGTGTATAAATATCCCAGTCAATGGGTGTACCACTGCGAATACGCATCGGTGGTTCAGCGGTAAAATGCCCGTTAAGGAATAAAACAAAAGGAAATGAAATAAAGTTTGTTCACCGATTGATATCAGTTGGAGAACCACTGAAAACTAGATAGCACTGGATATAGTTGTTTCGTCCTTGTTGTTTGAGACTTTTCACACAGCACACACCCCAAGACCTTCAGGTCATGAGACGACACACACTGAGACTGGATTCGATAACTTATGAATTCTAACTTCTATCAAGTTTTTAGTCGTATCTCAATGATTTAAACTGAGACAGAATCACTGTTCTATAGATCTTGGTTGTAAACTGCTTAACCACTTTTCTCGTGATTTGTGTCTTAAGTCAGTTGATGTATTATTTATTATATTATAGCTTGACTCCACACAGTATTTTTGATATACGTATGGAATTTCCAGCATGTGATATCGGTAGCCCAAATTTTGCAGACCAACCATTGATATCGGGTGTGCGTCGGGCTGGGATCGAACCCGGGACCATGTGCATGGTCGGCGAGCGTCCTAACCGCTGTGCCACCGACGCATTCCTGTCATTTGTGTGCACACTTCACAGTCTACTAGCCACCTACATATTGGCGTGAAATAAGTTTCCGTGTAATCTCTGTTCGTGGCTTACATTCAATTCTTTTGAAGCCTACGGTAGTCTTTCATGTCTATTCATATGTGGTATTGTGTTGTGTTCATAGAAATTATCAAGGTATTAACAGTTCTGTAACTCACTGGCCACTGAATCACTTTTATACTTGGCTGTGAGCAAAGTACATTTTCTTTTTACGGGATTCATGATCTAATTGTATTTGAAAGCGAAACAGTTTTTAATTTTCAGTCAAGTTGGGTTGCGGGCGGCGGGAAGGGGGGGGGTTAATTGAATAGGATATACAGACTGAGGGGTTTCGGGTTAGCAACAGTTAGTTTGTAGGGAATTGATTTGTCTCAAGTTTGATTACGATCTGCCATATTTCTTGACTTAAAGGCGGCCTTCGACTCCGTGGATCGAAAGTTACTATGGCAATGTTTGACTGTGAAGGGAGTGCCAAGAAAGTACATTGCACTAATCAAGGCACTCTACTCAAACTCACGTAGTCGTGTAAGGGCTTATGGGGAGTTGCCATTTGAATTGATAACAACCAGTGGTGTCCGTCAAGGATGTCCACTTTCCCCATTTCTGTTTAACTTCATCATAGATATGCTAATGGAAGTATCCTTAACTGAATTTACCGACTTAGGAATCGACTTGTTACGAGGGAATAGTCTTATGGACTTATAATATCCAGATGACATAGTCCTGTTCGGGGAGGATGCTGACAAAATGCAGAGTCTTCTGAACACCTTGAGCAGCAGTCTTCGTATGTTTGGCATGCGATTCGCCCCTGTAAAATGTAAGATGCTGCTACAGGACTGGACTACGTCAACTCCTAGCTTAGTGATAGGGAGTGAAGTGATAGAACATGTTGACCACTTCACCTATTTGGGAAGTTGTATCAGCACCAACGGATTGATTGATGACGAAATCTCAGCAAGGATCCAAAAAGCTCGGGTTGCTTTCGCTAACTTACATCATCTCTGGCGTAGGCGTGACATCCGGCTGTCAACCAAGGGACGTGTACTGCTCAGTAGTTCGCTCTGTCCTTCTCTATAGCTCTGAAACATGGCCAATACGAGTTGAAGACATGAAAATGTTGACTGTGTTTGATCATAGATGTCTACGATCTCTTTCTCACGTTAGGTGGTATAATAAGGTGAGTAATGTTGACGTTAGGCGTAGAGTGTTGGGCGAAGAGGGAAAATCAATCGACGAGGCTATAAAGTTACATAGATTGAGATGGCTAGGTCATGTGCTGCGCATGCCTAACCATCGCCTCCCCCGACGGACGGGCATTACTAGCTGATATAGGTGCAGGTTGGAAAAGAGTAAGTGGTGGCCAAACAAAAACATACCATCAATCCATGAAATCCTTGACAGTTAAACTTAGTCAGGTAGGGAGGGAGATGCAGACTTCCGGGTTGGGGCCGTCGGGACTCTAAGAGTCAATGGCTGGAGACAATAGGTTACATGGCTCAAAATCGTTGTCAATGGCTAACGCAGATGTATTCAGTCTCTGTAATCTTTCATATTCCTTTCTACCATTACTCATTCTGTTTCACTCTTATACTTGTCACAACTCTATTGATTCTCTTCACTCATCTTCTTGTCTACCTTTGTGTGCTATTTGGAACGTGGCAACTCGAACTGCTGCACTTCGGTGCCAAGTTCTATGTTGAACCCAGACAGATGTAAATTATCATTCTATTGTGTATCAGTTTGTCGAGTCATTAGTGGAGACGATTATTTAATAATTAGGAAATGCCTAAAATTATCCACCTAACGAGGATTTTGTTAATGTTTCTTATAAAACGAATGTTAATCTGTTAGTTATTTCACTGTCACGTGAATCCAAGACTTCAGTTAGAAAAAATGGTAAGCTCTGATCATTTGTTCGAAGTGAGAAATCAACTCTACAGTTTCTTAACCTAACCTAAACAAACATTGGCCTTATTTGAGGTTGAGTTAATTTTGTACTTCCTCCAATGATTGATTATATTGGGAAACGAGAAGACAGGGATATCTTGGACAGACGTGAAGAATCTAGTAGACCTGGATTTCGCGGATGATTTATGTTTGAAGTCACACAAAATCGAAGACTTACAAGCGAAAACCGACAAACTGGTTGAAGAAGCAGCAAAGACAGGACTCCAGGTGAACATAGACAATACGGAGGTTATGAAAATAACCAACCAGCAACAACAACAGCAGCAGCAACATCCAGCGCCAATAACCATCAACGGGAGGGATTTGAAAGAGGTCACTTCATTCACTTATCTAGGGAGCATTGTCTCAACTACAGGTGGAATGGGCGAGGATGTCAAATCGAGAATCGGGAAGGCGAGAAACACATTCATCAACCTGAAACCAATCTGGAAATCTTCGTCACTCAGCATCAACAACAAAATGACTCGGATTTTCAATACAAACGTCAAGTCAGTCAGTTCTTCTATACGTACGGATCAGAAACTTGGCCGGTCACAAAGAATATTTCCAACAGCCTGTTGCAGACCTTTATCAACAACTATCTTCGTTCTCTACTCAAGATCAGATGGCCGGAAAGAATCACCAACAAGAAACTATGGGAACAAACGAAACAAGAACCAATCGGTCAACAAATATACAGGAGGAAGTGGAGATGGATTGGACACTCACTGAGGAGGCCACTGAGTGACATCGCACGTCAGGCCAGTGCTCGAGTGGAACCCGAAATAGAAGCGGCGAGTAGTGGGACGTCGAAGGGTGACATGGAGGAGATCGTGTGAAGAGGAGCTGAAACAGTATGGACTAACATGAATGCAGGTGAAAAGTACAGCAGAAGACAGAAGCAAGTGGAGACGTGTAGCTGAAGCCCTATGTTCCTCTAGGAACCCAAGGAAACAATAATAATAATAAAATGTTCGGTCTCTGTTGACATGTCGGTTCCTAATACGGACACTTCTTCTTCTTCTGAAAGAAACCTTCATCCAAAATAGATACTCACCAAGGTTCATCTTCGACAAGACTATCAAATCAAAAGTTCAGAGGAACGAAACATTACTTGTTCTATAAAAGAAACTTTACATGGACCTGGATTCCAAGGCGGAGTTGATCTGCGATATCCTTAAGTGAATTTCAGCATCTCTGAGAAGAACAGTCTTAACAGCAATGTGAAAAGTAGTGTTTCCCAGTCGTCCACTGGTCTGCATAAGCCTTAAGGACAGAATCTCGCATCTGACCACTTGTGTGTTCATATCTATATCGGTTCACCTGTTGTTGTGGAGCCAGGTAGATTGGTTGTTTGACGGATATCCTGTCTAAAAGGGTTTAAGAACATTATCCTGCATATCTGCAGAGAGGTAGTAGTGGCTCTGTAAGCAGTGTAATAATCAAACACCTTGTCAACACTGATCATTCCATCTCAACAAACTCCTCTCTGAAAGTAATCTACAAGGTGAAGAATAACCTAGCTAAGGAAATACGCTTTCGTCTTTTTCGCATTACTGAAGCCTTAGCCTTTCAGCTGGATAAAAACTAGAGTTATGCATACAAGGGCAAATTATTCAACCATTCTTACTATCGTGGTAGCGACCTTGTCGATTTCTACTGATTTTGATATCTCAGGTAATCAACCATCGGGAAACGCTAAAATTGACTTAAACGCATAATTACTGATATCCATTGCACAAGAGGTGACTGTCATAACTCAAGTGGCCTAGTGCCTAGTGACATTTAAGCATTTGGAAACGATAGGTGCGGGGTTCGAGTTTGGGTAAGAACGTCATCACTCACCGGGGTGTGTGTGTGTGGTGTTAGTGGTGGGGAGGGATTACAGGCACATCCAATTGACTAGTAGTCCCAAGTATAGGTTAGCCGAGTTGATCAAACTCAAAGACGTGCGTTGTCACAAAAAGTCTTCAGTTAGTGACTTTCCGTATCTGTAGTCCACTTAGTAGACATTCAATTTGAGAGTTTATGAAACTTGATAGAAGCCATAAGTGTTTGTGTCTCACTCACTCACTATATGCCCATTTTCATCATAACCAGAGTAGGCTTAGCTTTTATACTTGACTTGACTTGACTTGAATTGACTTTATTTTATTTTGTTTTGTTTTTTCTTTGTTACAGGCTGAGGGTGTTGAACAAAAACTATTGGATGTCACTCCGGTAATACCTGATTTGCCTGCTGTCCCAGACTCTGACTTATCAATACCTACTGCATCGCGTCAAACACCAAGTAAGCTGTTTGAATTGTCTCCACATTATTTTCTGCCTGTTTTTATGGTTTACTTGGAGATACCTAGTATTTGGCTTGAATATTTAATAACTGTAGGAGAAGAAGACGAAGGCTTTATAGAATAAAATTTGCGAAACTTTATCTGGATTCTTGGTTATGAGTGCTATGAGCTGACCTAATCAACAGCTGTTATGTTGCTAACGCTAATCCGTAACGACTATTCTTGTAGGTGTTTGACGTTAGTGAGATTAAACGTGGTTACCTTCATAGTGGAAGTATCAGGTCGAGGCGTTGTACTGTTGACTTAAGAGGAAGTAACAACCTATAAGGTGTTTCCTTCCCAACATCCAACAAACCAAATACACACGGGGGTGGGTGGGAAGGTTTAAGAAAGTTCCACCGGAAATCGCTACATTCTAACATTGGTTCACAGCTAATTTTAGAATTTGTTGTATAGATGTAGCTGTGAGAAATGGCCATCGGGAATGCGCGTCGGTGGCACGCCGACAGTGCACATGGTCTGGGGTTCGATCCCCTGTCGACGCACACCCGACATCTATGGTCGGCCTGCAAAATTTGGGCTACCGATATCCATGCTGAAAATTCCATACTTGTACTGAAAAATACGGTGTGGCATCAAGCTGTAATCAAAGTGAAAAATAAAAAAATAAATATGAAAAGACTAGCTAGCTGCCTGTGATCATAGGTGCCTGCGTTCTATCTCCCGTGTTACGTAGTAGGTGTAATAGCGTGGGCAATATTGAGGCGAGGCATCAGTCAAGTGCTAATTAAACAATAGAAATCAATCAACGAGGCTGGGAAGTTGCACCAATTGAGATGGTCACGATATGTGTTACGTATGCCCAGCCATCGCCTTGCTTGACATCGAGCAATGTTATCCGGTTGACATAGGATGAATCAGGTTGGAAAAGAGCTAGTGTTGGCGTTCAAACGAAAACATGTCTTCTTCAATCAGTGAAATCCACAAGGGTTAGTTTAAGCCAGCCGCCAGTCACGGAGGGACGGAGGGAGGTGTAGACTGGCTTCCTGACTGGTTGGGGTCCTCGGAATGATAAAAGCCAATGGCTGCTGGAGACAGTTGGTGATATGGCTGAAGATCCTCGTTATCAATGGCTGACGCAGACTCATCCAATAAAGTTCTGTTGTTTTTCTATTTTATTACACTTTTCTCCTCTTATTTCTGTTTATTATCTCTCTTTATTCCCTACCCCTGTTTTTTGTGCTATATGGAGCTTGGTAACTTGGACTGGTGTACATTTGTGCAAAGTTCTACGTTGAATGAAACCAGTTAGTCAACCACTCACGTAGTTTAGGTTCGATTCCCGGCAGACAAACTCTTCAACCTCCTGAAGTTAGTTGCAAGCCCAATAAAGATGTTAGGCTGGGTGTGAGACTAACCATCCCACCCAGCAAAAAATCAATATTGTGTCGCTATTAAAACTTAAAAGCTTACTGCCCTATATATCCCACTTGGAACACAGAAAAGAATGAAAGAAAAATCCTAAAGCTGTGAAAAGAAATGGTGACCAGCATCCCGCCTATGCTGCCTCTTTGCCTTGGAGGAGGGGGGAGAGTTAGAAAAGGGTGACCCTGAAAATTGTACATCTCAACTCAAATTGTGGCAGTCCGTAGCTGACAGTAAGATATTAATACAAACGAGATTCACAAAACCACTTGAAACAGGCTATGTGTGATCGGCCCTAAGCAGTTGTCCATTGGTTGCTGTGTGGTCAATTAACTCTAATGCGCTCCCCGTCTGTTCCAGGAAAAGAAACCAACTTCTTTGGTATAGATAGCTTGGAAATAATAACTAGCCACACACTAGCAGCACACAACGCCTTCCTGACTATCAATCACCTTCACCTCCGTCATTTCTCATCATCTATCTTGCTTTCCTCCTCCTGTGTTAGTACTATCTCACAGGCAGGTAGGTCCTTCGTATTCTGTTAACTCTGTGACCACTAATAGGGACGGCAGTCGGAAAGGAAAAAAATTACTTGTTAGTCTCTTAAAACCACTCTACCGCACATTTCTGCTGATTATTATAAATATTTTCTATCCCTGTACGTTCCCAGTGGAACTAGAGATTTGAAGTTTCGGTAGCAGTAGTGTTTTTACTTTTACGGGATGGGGTGGTTGCTAGCCTCATGCCCAACCTTCCCTCTTTACCAGTCTTATTACTTACTGGCTTAGCGAGGTGAGGGAGTGCCTCGTCGGCTGGGAATCGAACTCCTGACTGCATGCGTGGGTTGGCAAGCATTCTCCCACTGACGCTCCGTTGATTATAGTTCTTTTCTTTTTTGAATATCTTTCCTCTGACATATTAAATTGCTGTCCTTGTGTGCATAAAGTTCTTTGTTGAAATTCACTCAATCAAACTGACCTTATGCTGCTCGTCATCTCATTGGTATAAAATCAACTAACACTGAAGGTGAAGAAAACAGCCTATTTACCAAAGAACTTTTCCTCTCAAGGCTAAAAAAATATGGATGAGAATTAACACAGAAATGTGCAAGTTTGTGTAGATTGATCGTTAGAAATTCAAATGCCCCTGGATGACGTTCTCAGCACACTTGTCTAGCCTTTAATTATATCATTACGTGTATTCATCACATGACCTTCTAGCTTTCTTTCTTTTTATAGCTGTCGTGTTATTTCTGTTTATTGCAGTTCTATATATATATATATATATATATATATATATATATATATATATAGGATACGTGTCGCTGCGTCATTTGAATGAGCAAATATCCTGTGATTGACACTAAATACGTGCAATCGAAATGACTCAGCGCCTATCCTGGATCTGTGCAAAGTAACTGAATCGGTATGTATGCTTCGGTGACACAACGGTAGAGTGCTCGCCCACCACGCCATACATGGTTCGGAGTTCGATCCCCGGCCACCGACGCACTTCAAAACCTCCGCAAAGCTAGTAATAAGACTGGTAAAGAGGGAAGGTTGGGGGGCGTGAGGTTAGCAATCCCACCGCTGCTACTGAAATTTCCAAGGTCTAGCTTGAAGGGTGGAGGATTTCATCATGATGAGCTGATATAATCGGTTAGAGAACCATTGGAAAACCGCCAGTGGCGTACTGGAGAGCTGCCTATTTCGTCCTAGTTTGGGACTCTTCATCAGTAAACACCCACCTGGGTTTGAACCTATGATCTTCTGGACACAAAGCGAGCGAGCTCGTAGACCATTTAGTCACTGGGACTCGATCCAATGGCTCATGAATTCTCTATCTTCTAGCTAGAAGCCCTATGTTCTACTGCGAACGCATAGAAATAAAAAATATCCATATGATTATGAGTAGTATAGATTGTACTCAAAGTGTCATCCAGTTATTAAAACTGTGTGTGTTATATCAAATCTTCTTACCTAATATGGAATTATGCGCATCAGTGTTTCAGTCATGCATGCGATCCATGTTCGACTCCCAGTCTACGCATCCCCTAAACCTCGCTTAGCCGACACAAAGTCCAGTAAAGGGGAAAGCATGGTCGTGAAGCAATGGCAACCTCATCCCCTAAACAAACACCACCGCGATTGTAACTTCAAAACTAGATGTTCTGCCCCTACCGATAGCTGATACTTTGAAGTGGTGGTTGGGCTTGCATATCGTAATGACCCAACAAGCTACAATGGCTGGAACTATCGTTCCTGCAGGTCCTACAATGCTAAGAAAGTTATTAGGATAGTGATTAAACTAAAGCGGTTACCGGCATTGTGTGAGACTTTTATTTCTACACTATGTTGGGGATCTGTGGGGGAAGTCGTACTGGCGAGGAGCAGGGGTGTAACTGAGCAAGTCCCGTCGGGGTGGTGTGAGTCATTGATTATCCCGATACACAAGAAGAGAGATAATTCCTCGTGTGATAATCACAGGGGGGATTAGCTTGACATATATGGTATCTAAAGTTCTAGACTCAATAACAATGCGTAGACTAAGTGGTGCTTGGGAGGCACAAACACGAGAGAACCAGGCAGATTTTATACCAGGAAGAGAGTGTATTGATCATATCTTCACCCTTCGACAGATTCTGTAGCATAGACATACTTACCGACGTCCAACAATCGTTATATTTCTTGCCCTAAAGGCGGCATTCGATTCTGTCGACCGAGAGGTACTCTGGTGATGTTTGGTTGCAAGAGGAATGCCGAGAAGATACTTTGCACTGATCAAGGCACTCTACTCAAATTCATGCAGCCAGGTGAGAGCTTACGGCGAGTTGTCATCTGAAGTCGTGACAACTAGTGGTGTTCGACAGGGATGCCCACTATCCCCATTTCTATTCATTTTCTTCACAGATGTACTAATGAAATTAACCCTAACTACTGACTTCAACGACTCAGAGATTGACTTGTTACCATCACGAAATAATCTCCTTGACTTATAATGCGCAGATGACATAGTCCTTCTAGGTGAAGACGTTGACAAAATCCAGCAGTCTTCTGAACACCTTGAGCTGAAATCTCCGAATATTTGGCATGTGACTCCCTCCCGCCAAATGTGAGATGATGCTACAGGAGTGAACAACATTAACTCACTCCTAGTTTGAAGATATAGGGAAGTGAAGTGGTAGAGCATGTTGACCACTTCACTTATTTGGGGAGTTGCATCACACAACACCAGTGGGTTGATCGTTCACGAAATCTCAGCACGGATACAAAAAGCTAGTTTCGCATATGCCAGTTTACGCCGTCCCTGGTGTAGACGTGACATCCGATTGTCGATCAAAAACCGTGTGTACTGCTCAGCAGTTCGCTCTGTCTTCCTTTATGGCTGATTGTTACATATGGCCATTGGAGGCCTGCGTTTTATCTCCCGTGTTAGGTCTAATAGGTTGAGTAATATTAGGTGAGGCATCAGTTAAGTGCTACTTAAGCAAGGGAAATCAATCGACGAGGCTGTGAAGTTACACCAATTGAGATGGTTAGGACATGTGTTACGTATGCTTAGCCGTCGCCTTCCTTGACATCAAGCAATGTTATCCGGTTGACATAGGATGAATGAGGTTGGAAAAGAGCTTGTGGTGGTGGTCAAACGAAAACATGTCTTCTTCAGTCAGTGAAATCCACAAGGGTTAGTTTAAGCCAGCCGCCAGTCATGGAGGGAGAGAGATGTAGACTGGTTTCCTGACTGACTGGTTGGGGTCCTCGGCATGATAAAAGCCAATGGCTGCTAGAGACAGTTGGTGATATGGCTGAAGATCCTCGTTGTCAATGGATGGCGCAGATGCATCCACTCCTTGTGACTTATAATTTCCAATAAAACTATATTGTTCTCCCATATTACTATGCTTTTTGCCTCATATCTCTGTCTACTGTCTCTGTTTTGCGTTTCTTTTTAATTTCCTCTCTGATTTTGTGTGCTGAGTGAACAGTGGCGGCTCGAATAACCGCACACCGGTGCAAAGTTCTACGTTGAAACCAGTCAGTCAGTCAGGAATGAGGCGGCCATTCGGCTTAATTCTAAAAAGTGATGTAATTCTAACTATTACACAATCTCACGGTGGAAAAAACGGCTAGTCTGCTCTAATATAACTTCATCTCTCACCTAATATACACACACACACTCCAGTGAACCATGATGTCTGGCCTCAAAACATAATCGTTGCTGATAAACAGAATTTTGTTTAACAACCACTTACACAATTCCGAACGCTGTTGGCAATGAGCCACACGTACTAACTAATGTGCGAAGGCTGGCATTAATACTACCTGGCTGACCAAACCTAACTAAATGAGGCGGATTGCGAATCCACTACCCATCGGTTGAAAGTTAAGCGACTAGATGAATTAGTCACAACTGATAAAACAAAGACTGTAGTGCGTATTCATTAAAAAACTAGTCGTCGAGCTGTAAGCCATTTTCTGTTAGTCTTCACTTATCCAGACTGCGAAGTAAATAAAGCAGAGACTGAACTTAAGACCTATCGGTTGAAAGTTAGGCGCATGTTAGCAAATCAGCAGTACTCCACAAAAATAAAGGCTTAATAGATACCACTTTAAAATTTGAGCATATCAGAAACGATATAAATGGCGGACTAACATGATCAAGTTTCTTTTTAATTGATTTAGTGCATCCAAGGTTCAGGGGTGGAATGCTCCCCAATCATGCACGTGGTCTTGGGTTCGAATCCAACTGAAATGCCTATCTGTTTTCCATAAAGGAGGACGGAGTCGACTGTTGAGCAGTACACACGGTTTTTGATCAACAATCGGATGTCACGTCTACACCAGAGACGGCGTAAACTGGCATATGCGAAACTAGCTTTTTGTATCCGTGCTGAGATTTCGTGAACGATCAACCCACTGGTGTTGTGTGATGCAACTCCCCAAATAAGTGAAGTGGTCAACATGCTCTACCACTTCACTTCCCTATATCTTCAAACTAGGAGTGAGTTAATGTTGTTCACTCCTGTAGCATCATCTCACATTTGGCGGGAGGGAGTCACATGCCAAATATTCGGAGATTTCAGCTCAAGGTGTTCAGAAGACTGCTGGATTTTGTCAACGTCTTCACCTAGAAGGACTATGTCATCTGCGCATTATAAGTCAAGGAGATTATTTCGTGATGGTAACAAGTCAATCTCTGAGTCGTTGAAGTCAGTAGTTAGGGTTAATTTCATTAGTACATCTCTGAAGAAAATGAATAGAAATGGAGACTTTGAGCATTGTTGTCGGACACTAGTAGTTGTCAACACTTCCTGTTACTAAGTTTGTGTTGAACTGTGTCAGAGTAGAATCTACTGATGGGAAACCTAATATCGCGGATTTCTTAAACATCTACGCATTGTTTAAACCTTCAGTGAGAGTTTTTCCATGACTTACAGCTTTATTTTAAAAGCAGTGTAACTCAGCAACTATGTGGAATTATGTTATAACTATCATAACGAGCAATTCTAAGAATGTTAAAGTCATATTCAGCTGATGATGAGGAGTGTAAGTGGAATTTATTGAATTCTCAATTATTATTTTTTTTCATCCCAAATCGCTGAAAAATTGAGGAACTCTTTGGTTATAGTTCGAAATACATTCATATAGGATCGACAGATATTCACGTTAGATAGATGTAGAGTGCTGCTAGGTAGTGAAGGGAAGTCAATTGTGAGATTTTTTCTTTTATTTGTCTACGTTCCCAGTGGAACATAGGGCTTCAAGTTAGAAGCTTGAAGTTTCGGTAGCAGTTGTGTGTTCATTTTTACGGGATGGGGTGGTTGATAGCCTCATGCCCAACGTTCCCTCTTTACCAGTCATATTACTGGGTCAGCAAGGTTTGGGAGTGCCTCGTCGACTGGGAGTCGAACCCGGAACCACGTGTGGCGCGGTTGGTGAGCATTCTACCTCCGTGCCACCGATGCACAATCGTGATTAGGTTACGAAACTGTAACGACTGGGAGACACGACTGAGACACGTGTCTCGCATATACTGACGAGCAATACTGATTGACCCTAAAGTGGGAAAAAAGTAGGGGATGGTCGAACTGCGAGACTGCCCTCAGTCTATGAAGTCTTTGACAGTTGATATAAGCTGTCCACGTAAGGAGGGTGTGTGTGTCGACTGCTTGGACAATGGGGTCCTCAGGATGCTAAGAACCAATGGGTGTGGAGACTACTAGTAAAAGGGCGGAAAATCGTTCTCTATGGTGCGGCGCATAGGTATTCACTCATTGTAATCTCCCCCAGATCTATAAACCGCCAGCCCCCGTTGTTTTTTCATGTTAGTATCCTTTCCCCTGTACATTTCTCCTTTGTTTCTCTCGTTTGTTTGTCTACTTCTGTGTATGTGCCACATTCAGTGCGGTAACTTGAAACTGCTTCATTTTTGTACATAGGTTCTGTGTGTCAATCATTTCATATGAGAGGGAGAGATCAGATAGAAACAGTTAGGCTGCACATAATAAGAATCTAGGCGATCCGGCATCATACGCAACTGCATCTTTGATGAACTAACCATTCGCATAAAATCTCGGGGAGTGTGTGTGTGTAAGGCGTTTCTTTATTAATATATTTGGAAAACTTGGGCACTGTGGCAGTAAGTAATTCCATATTAGTTTGTTTATTAGATGTGCTACACACAGTGACTGAAACAGTATTATTTACTGGATGACACCCTTTCGAACACAATTCATTATTGTTCATAATCATATCAATTGTAATCACACGACTTTGAGACTTGAGTTTTATGGTTTCCTTTGTCCTCTCCTACTTGTCATCGTTAGGGTAGTACAATTTTCCAGATATCGGGGACAGGGGTTGAATCATTCCTATCACATGTATTTGCAGTTGATTCGATAAGCAGAGCTTCTGTTATCAATCTCTCCCTCCAGCCTGTAACATTAGATTTTAAAACTGTCATCCTATCCCATCCTATTGTATGGTTGTGTGTAACTGCATGTAGTGAGTGCTATAGCTGAACTATTCTCTAGATTTCTTATTTTATTCGGGTCAACCAATCTAGATTTTGCTAAGTTTTTATGTTCAGCTAGTCTGACTGATAGTTTTAAAATCTAATATCACAGGATGGAGGGAGAGATTGATAACAGAAGCTCTGCTTATCGAATCAACTGCAAATACATGTAATAGGAATGATTCAACACCTGTCCACCCAGATATCTGGAAACTTCTACTACCCCAAACGACGACAAATAGGAGAGGACAAAGGAAACTATAAAACTCAAGTTTCAAAGTCGTGTGATTATAATTGATGAAATGGATTATGAACAGTAATAAATTTTGTTCGAAACTGTGTCATCCAGTAAATACTAATACTGTTTCACTCACTGTGAGTGATATATCTAATAAACAAACTAATATGGAATTTCTTTATTATAATTTTTTTTGCTTTCTTTGAAACAATATGCACTACTCATATTACACAACTATCACATTTCCCCACTCCTTTTTTCAGGTAAGAAAAAGGTTGATGATGATGATATCGGAGCACTGGCTGAATGGGCTAACTGATCGTCGTCACATGGTCGCCGTGGTCGTCACCACATGGTCATCGTCGCGGTTGTCGTTGAAATCTTATTTCTGGTGTGTTATTGTATTTATAGATAGATATACACATATATATATATATGAAGTCTTCAGTACTTCTCAACCACCCACCCCCTCCCCCAAGCTGATTGATTGTATGAATAATCACCACCACCACTACCACCTCTTGTGAAGTTGACATGTGTGTTGTGATTTTTTTTTGTAATGCACATCACACCTAAAGGAATAATTCCCCCTATTTCCACTACTATAGTTTCTATGGCGTTTCTTTATTTTTGCCTTCGCTTATGATTATTATTATTATGATTTTTTCTCTTACACTGTCTAATCAGACCAATTAATCCAGCATACATTTGTGAATAGTGATAAGACAAACTCCGCTTTCATTATATTGTGTGTGTGCGTGTGTGGGCCAGGGGGCCTCTACCACCCTGGCATATTATCCTTTCCCTATCGCCTCCCGCCTTTATTTTGATATTCAATTAAAGGGGGGTGGGGTGATGACGTTACTGCATAAATTCCCTCAAGGGTAGGTATCACTTGTGATACGAAGATGTACGCATGTATGTATTTATTTATGTGTGTATGTGTGTTTGTATGTTATAATTCTCTTTTTGCGCATTCTGGATTGTTCTTGTAATTGATTGACTATGGGAGCCAGCAAGCAAGCGAGCAACCAAACAACCAATCGACCAATCAAAATGACTGATAATTTCTCCCCTCCCCAGCTGGCCAGCTGGTTTAGAATTTCTCCCTTGTTGAGCTTTCTGTTCTGATTGTGTGTTTTATATTATGCCTTGTTAATTATTATTTAATATATATGTTGATTGGATAACAAGGCAGCACGCCTTTTTTACCTGTTATATATATATACATATATATATATATATATATATATATATATATATTATAGATATATGCGCATACATTCTGGTGTGTTTGTCTTTCTCTTTGTTAATATATATACATACATATATCTATACAGACCTGTATTTGTTCTTCTGGTTCTCTTCGATATTGATATAAGAATAAAACTTGTGCACTGTGGTAGAGAGTGTAATTCCATTATGGGTGTAAATTTTGTTTTGATAAGTCACACAGTGTTGTGTTATACAGTAATATTAACTGATGACCACTTGTCGAGCACAGTTTATTGCTCATAATCAATCATATCAAGGTAATCACACGACTTCCTAAATTCATTTATATAATTCCGTTGTTTTTCACTTGATTTGATTGGTAGTAATATTTAACATATTTCGGGTATGAGTGATGAATCATTCCTATTGCATGTGTTGGGTGTAGACTCGATGAACAAGGATTCATTAATTAACCTCTCTCTCCACCTACTACTTTTTAGAATTTTAACCGTCTCCCACCCTATTGTATGGTTTTGTGCTAATGCGCATGCATTGCAATTGCTGAGCTTTTTTCTAAATTACTTATCCTCGTGGGATCAATCCTCCTGACCTTTGCTAAATTCTTTTGTTCTGACCATCTGACCCCGACCTACTAGTTTGACTGACTTATGTGGTTGATCTCACAGTCATCGCAGGGTATTTTGTAAATTATATTATTTTGTCTAATTGGATCAACTGGGTCCTTTAACCTACAGAGCTTGTTCCTGAGTGAGTTTGTAGGTTTGAATGCCACCCTAATTCGTGCTTTATTGAGAATCCTACGTAGGGTCTCAGATGTCCCCTCTTTATATGGTATAACTGTGGATGACTTATATTCTCTCTTATATATGCTATTATTACCAGTTTCACAATTCTTTTTCTTTTTCTTTTGGCGTTTTTCAATCTTCCTAATGAATTTTAGAGGATAGTTATTTAACACCAACGCCTCTTCTATCTGTTTTATTTCATCATTTAGGTCTATATATATAAATGATATGATTATGAGCAATAAATTGTGCTCGAAACGTGGTCATCAGTAAATATTACTGTATAACACTGTGAGCCTCTTCGATATTCTTGTGGAAAAATAATTTCACTCTACAGGAGAGACACACGAAGTATAAACACGCTTTGAATACGTGGGTTTTTGCATCTAACGTGCCTTGATTTGATACGGCTTCTTTTTTCCTTTCTGTCAAAATGTAAACATTTGATCCAGTTTATAGGCAGGGGGACGCGAGGGCTGGCGGGACCTGAGCCTACGTATGTATAACAGCAGGACAGATGTGGTAATCACAAGTATTGCTTGTCTACTGCCAATATTATACAAGAGCTATTTGATATTAAATTAGTCTTGTTCTCTGAAGAGCTGTTTGAAGATTTCATCGATCCCCTTCTCTAGACAACATCTCCCCTTAACGCAGTGTTTAGTATAATTAAATGTCTTCATGAATGATGCAGTTGTATCTCATCCTGGCAACAATATGTTTAACTGGGTGTTAATTTACGTCTCTGTTGATCATATTTTTAGTGACTTGGAATTCAAACTTTGTTTTTATTGGCAGCTGAGAAATTTGGTCTATGGCAGTGTGTTTATTAATCGTCGGCTGATTCACTTGAGCACCAACCAGCCTTCTAGGAATTCTCTGGCGGCATTTTTGGTGTGTGTTTGTTTTTCTATTTAAAATTTCTACATTATCCCAATCAAATTTGGGATCAAATTCATCCCATCTGAATTCATCTATGAAATAACGGCTAGAATATTAAGACCGTTTGAAATAGATATAGCATACAAGCCAGTCAGGCAGCACAATCATCACTTCATTCGATATTGTGTATACCTAAAGGCCAATGCAACAGGAAAAGAAGAAGATAAAATTAATACCATTCACACAATAAATTGCATGTATGAACTGCAAAAAACATTACATTGGTGGTCGAAGTGGTCATCCCCTTCGAATTAGAATCCAAGAACACAAATTGTCTGTAAAAAGACATGATGTATATTCTTTCATGTAGATAATTATGAACATCAGTTTGATTGGGAAAATGTCGAAATCTTAAACAGAGGAAACACCAAAAATGTAGTTTGGTGGGAATTCCTAGAAACCTGGTACTCAAGTGGTTCAGCCAGAGCGGTTAACAAACACACCACTACAGATCAAATTTACCAGCTGTTAAATAAAAAAGTAAATCATGTGAGAAGCAAGTTCAAATTCCAAGTCAATACAGTTATATTAACTGATGACCACGTTCCGAGCACAAACTATTGCCACTCATAATCATATCAAGGCAATACTCACACAACTTCTTTCCTTCCTTCATTTATATACATGTGTGGAATCGATTAGATATTCGAATAAAATTCAATATGAGATAATGTACATTCAGAAATAATAGTACGAGTGTTATTGATCAAATACAATCAGATGGGAAATAAGACGAGTGTGTAGTCTGCACCCAATACATGCAACAGAAATGACTCAATGCAAATACCAGAAATATGGAAGATATTATTACCTCTGGTCAAATTCGAAGAGGATAATAAATAATCTTAAAATTATATTTCAATTCAAACACACCACAACATTCTAACAAGTAACTTATTATAACTGTAGAAACACTCGTCTTATTTCCCATCTAATTGTAATGGATTAATAACACTCGTATTATTATTTCTGAATGTACATTATCCCATATTGATTTTTATTCCAATATCTAATAGATTCCACAAATGTATATAAATGAAGGAAAAAGTTGTGTGAGTAACCTGATATAATTATGAGCAATAATTTGTGCTCGAAACGTCATCAGTTAATATAACTGTACAACACTGTGTGATTTATCAAAATAAAATCTTATCCACAATGGAGTTATGCTGTACCACAGTGCCCAAGTTTTATACTTACATCAAGAATTCAAGTAAGTTGTTCATTTTATGCCAAAACCTGCGGTAAAGGAAGATGTTATCTAGAGAAGAGGGACGACGAAAACTTAAGCAGTTAAATCAGCCAGCTCGTCGGAAAACATAACTAATTTAATATCATCCACCTGAACCACAAATCTCCTTCGTTGTTTCAAGGGCTACTTGATTTCTCACGCCATTACTTCAACAAGATCACACAAGGAGGTGTGATTCGTGAAAGGAAATCGATAAATTCATTAGTTATTTGTCTATCTATGTATCTATGAGACAATGGTGATTAGTCAATTTTCCAGACGACAAGATATCCATCCACATATCACCTTGCCTTTCGATCAACTTGGAGCCGAGACGGCTCGTCTGTGTTCCCTTTTGCCTGGCTGACTGAATTCACAAGGAGGTCAATCGCGAGCCTGAATAGCTCAGTGATAACGTCTCTGACTGCAGTGCTCACTGGGTGACGCGGGTTCGAATCTCCTCAGAAAGGACATGAGTTCCTTCATGGTTGCAGATACGCCTTGCTGACAAGCGCCAACTAGCACGAAACCTAGGTCGTGTCCAAGGCTTCCTGCGGATTGCCTCCAACTATCTAATCTCATCAAAAGAGTGGCTCATTGTTGTCAGAATCTCCGATGGCTTTTATTGCGTTGCATTTTGAATGTATCTAGTAGGGAATCTACTCGTCTTTTTATCAGAAGGCATTCGTTATTGTAGTTGGTTCTTCTGTCCTGTTCATTCCGGCTGTGACGTAATGCATGACATTCTATCCACTTACTATGTCCTGCTGTGTAGACTATGGCAATGCATAGGTGTCCTAATTCCGAAAGATTTCAAGGCGATTGGAAATTTAGCCGTTGGTAGCTTAGGTGGTGAAGCGTTGTGTGTGTGTGTGTGGTTAGAAGCTTCCTCTGGGGCTCGATTATTCGCATGGGTATTGATACGCTTTCGGTGAGGAGTTGTATTGGCACACGAAACAGCTATCAGACTAGGAGATTTAACTAACTTCTGGTTGAGAATGGGATGTAATTTCCGGAGGATGACAGCGGTGAATGTCGTGCTGTGCATCCTTGGTAAAAGTCATCTTTGTATCCAAAAGTATTACAGTCTTGGTATCGATGTTTCTGCAAACAAGATTTGATGAAATGCTAAGCAGTGCAAGCCAACTGGATGGTGAAGGTTTATTTTTCAGGCATTGGTTGGTATTGCATGAGTAACTGGGAGGATGGATGGTTGAGGTAGGACCAGAGAGTAATGTGGAGGTTTGAGAGGTCTGGTGAACTGCACTGATTTCAGGACCACCCTGGCATCCACATTGGGATAAACTAGTATCAAGCTGAACGTTGACCAGTGATTGATATTCTGAAGTGACGTCGTTTGGCGTTATAGTTGGCTCCCGCTCCGAAAGGTTTAACAGCCTTATTCTGATTTCACTGAACTTAAGGGAATGTTAACTTTAAGTGATTATTAGCTTTTTGAACTCACCGTTCGTCATAGATTTCAACTTAAAGCGTTCATATTTGCGATTAACAATACCAATATGGGTGAGGAAATCAGCGTTCTTGTCTATGGTTAGCTTCAGTTGGTGATAACAAGCGTTGAAAATGGATGTGAATGATCACCAAATAGCTGTCTTAATGTCTACATTGTTTTGTCGAAAGTGTGATCACCTGGGTTTTGGAAAGGATCGTGTTTCAATACTTGTCAGGTTCAGAGGGACCTAGGTTTCCAATCACCTTAGCAGGGAAAATCCATCTTGAAGTTATCTTCGTAGTGTCTGAACGAAGTATTGAAGGTCAAGTCGGTAGTATCAGGGTCGTATTGTTAGCAGTTGCATCAACTGAAGGAGCTAGTTGATTCTGAAGAGGCATGTGATGATTCAGAACCAGTGCGTGTGCAGCTCGATAATCTTCACTTGTCCAACTCCGAAGAATCCAATCGCTGTCGCCACTTTAAAAAATTCGCAAAATGTTTGGTAGCCAGTAACAGACGTGAACATTGGTATCGCTTCTCAATCGCAAATATTATACAAGGGGTCCTCGGTTTCCCAGCTGACACTACTTGAGCTAGAACA